ATCAACAGATACTTCAAATATTGGAGTAATTAGACAGGCAACATAAATAACTGTGAATAATGGGCTTAAGAAAGCAGAGAAATGGATGACAAATTTCACCAGAGAATCAAAATCTATATACATACATCTAAAGGGTCAAATGGAATTCTAGAACTGAAAAACACATTCACTGAAATTAGGAATTCAATAGATGGATTTAATAGCAGAGGAGAGGACTGGTGAAGTGGAATATAGGTGAATATAAAATATCCACAATTGATAGAAAATTAAAATATGGAAAAATGCAGGAAATAAACATATGGAATAAGATTAAAGGATCTAAGGTGTATAAATTGAAGTCTCAGGAAAAGAGACAAAACAAAAACAATGATTGAAGAAATATTGGCCAAGATTTTCCAAAACAAAAAATGACATGAAAATTTCAATTCAAGAATCAGTATAGACTCCTAGCAGGATAAATACAAAGGAGCTGTGCAAGTCTCCTAAAAGTCTAACCCCTTTCCAAAAGGAAGACGTTAAAAGCTTCCAGAGGGGAAAAAAGACATATTGTTATCAAAATAGCAATAACACCAACAACTATCTTCTCAAAAGAAACCACAGAAGCCAGAAGACAATGGAATGACATCTTTATAAAATACTTAAAGAGAAAAGTACCAACATAGATTTCACCCAGTGTAGTGACAGCTACACTGGGTAAAACTATTTTGAAACATAAAGTAAAATAAGTGTTATGATAAATAAGAATGTCAATTCCAGCAAAACTTCACTAAAAGAAATACTGAAGGGAGTTATTCAGATGAAAGGAGAATGAAACATCAGTAACATGAAAAGGCAGAGGAGAACAAATAGCATTGAAGAGTTATAAAGTTCTTACAATGTTCGGGAAATAATAAAAGCATTTGTTTAAACTGTAATTTGTCCAGTGTGCATGTTATAATCTATCTATGGGATAGACAGCTGTCTCTTTCCGTGTTCTTCTGTGGAAAACCAGTTGGCTTACACTTTAGCCTATATCTCCAATGAGTCTATCAATCTTCTCCCAACTGACTTTTACCACAGCTTCCACTGTTTTTGTGAGTCTCTTAGGATGAAATTTCTTCACATCTGTGGCAAATCAAATAAGATCCTTTGGAGGAAGATTTGAAGCTCTCTGTTCTATGGTCTGCTTCTCTCCCTTGCCCCAAATTCTGAACCAAGATTCTGGTGCTGAATACAGAGAGAACATTCTTCTTTCTCAGTGACACCACTGCTTTAGGAACTGAGCATTCAGTGAATGGAAGAGGGATGCATCAGCTTGCATCTCTCAGCATAGATCCCCTGCCCCATGAGCCAGGGCAAAGGTGATCTGGGCCCCAGCATCCTAAGGACCACCATACCCAAGATAGAGCTTCAATTCCCATGAGCAGAGCTGAGCAGAAGATGGGAGCTCCACCTTTCAGCCCCACTCATTGCAGAACTTAGTTTCAGCAACAGGTAGCTAGGAGCAGAATGAGAAATGTTGACACTTTGACCATCCTTGGAAGATAGCCTCTAAATGGGAGCTGAGGGAAGAGGAAGCCATGTGTTCTTAGCTTACCAGTCTGGAGTGGAGTTTCCATCTTGCAAAAGTGGGAAAGGGGGAAAGGACAGCACAAGTCATGCTTCAAGTATCACATAATCTTGCAGTTCTTACCAAGTTTTAGATAATTTTCTTAAATATATGTTTCTTCATTTACTGTGTACCCACAGAATGATTTCTTGAGGTTCCAAATGATGGGGTTATTTTTATAATTTCATCAGTTTTACTGGGATATGAGTCATGGAGTTCATCACATCATCATACTCAGAGTGAAACTACTAAAATAAAATTGTAAACTATATAACTAACAAGCTAACCGACACAGATAAATGGACAGACACTGTGTTCATAAATTAGAAGAATTAATATTGTTAAAATATCCATACCACCCAAAGTAATCTACAGATTCAGTGCAATCCCTATAAAAATCCCAATGACATTCTTTACAGAAATAGAAAAAACAATTCTAAAATTCATATGGATTCACAAAAGCACCCTAAATAGCCAAAGCAATCTTAAGCAAGAAGAATAAAGCTAGAAGCATCACACTTCCTGATTTCAAAAGATATTATAAATCCATAGTAATCAAAACAGTATGGTACTGACACGAAAACAGACACAGAGACCAATAAAAAGAATAAACAGCCCAGACACACATCTATTGTCAGCTAATATTCAACAAAAGAGTCAAGAACACACATGAAGAAAAAATAATTTCTTGGG